GTGTGTGTGTGTGTGTGTGTGTGTGTGTGTGTGTGATGAATGAGTGTGTGTATGTGTGAGGTAACATAATTCATAAGAACTCTTTATTTCGCCTTCGGGAAAGTAAGACCTATGACAAGTTGAAATTTCTGTTTAATCACTTTCGTCACATATCAAATTGTATCTCTACAAGCTATCAATAAATAGTTTGTCGTCAGTAGTAGTATAGTATAGCTCATCTAACTAAAAAAGGAACGTCTTATTTTCTTTTCAGATAACTATTGACTGCTTGCACCGATATTTATAAAACCCAGTATTATCAAAGGTTCCACACTTGGGCGCCATTTTTTCGGTTTTATAAATTTTCATTTATCATATGTTCAAAAGGGAGTTTTGTTTGTTTGAACCAAGAGAAGTAGACTAAAAACTAAACTGAAATTAATACATTCTAGAACTGTACAGTCAAAATATGTTTTTTCAACCTCAGATGGACACGCAATTAAAATCTACCAGTGCCCTGAGAATGTGGTCTTTTAAATGGTTAAAAAAAACAACAACAACCCAACAAACATTTTGCTTAATTATAAAAAAACAAATCAGGATAGTCATATATTTAAAATCTCACGGCTTCAAGTAAATGGAATAAAAAATTATTCACAAGGGAGGCAGGGGAGGGTTTATTTCTCCTTTTTTTTCTTTCTTTTTTGGCCCGTGTCCCTTTTTTTGGGTGTGATGTTAGTGATCCTATTTGAATCAGACAATCATTGGCTACGAAAATGTGAGTGAATAGGTACAACGTTATTTCAAAACTTAAATGGATCCATAAGAGAATATATGAATAACAATTCTGATCATTTGATTTATTAGTCTTTTTATTTCACCCTACCTTTTATCGCCTTTTCTAGCTCCCCGCAGGCTGAGAGTTTGTTTTACATGATATTGAGAGTATGAGAGAGAAGCCTGAAACTGTAAACTGAGAGAAGAAAAATAGTGAAGGCATAGTGGCTGACACGAGAAAAGTGGATAAAAAACACGGACACAGAGAAAGGTAAATTATTAAAGTTTAATAGATTTAATACAATAAAAACAAATGTATATAATATCACGTTTATACAGTCCATTATCACTTCTATACTAGGTCTAATTTAATTTTGTTTCGTTCGTGGAAGGGGGATTACAGTGCAATAGTAATGATAATGATAAAAGTCATAATTACGATATGAAAAAAAATAGAGACTTGAGATATCCAAATACATGCATACTTTTATGGCATTAAAATCATCATCATCATCATCATCATCATCATCATCATCATCATCATCATCATCATCATCATCATT